GCAGTGGTCAGCAAATATGGGAACAAACTGTTACTAAATTAAGTTTTCTATTTCTCAGAGGAAAAAAAATAGTGGAATTAAAACATCTATAACATAGGAGTTGGCAGCTTCTCATTGTATAATAAAACATACCTGTCCTCATCTATTTTTACAAAATCTAATTTTTCATGGAAAAAAGCATGCACTTTATAAGTATTCTGCAATTTTGCCTGGTCTATTCACTTGGCAATAACTGGACACACTTCTGTTTAAATCATTGTGTTTCTTCCCTTTCACTGCATTACAGTTCCTTGCAATATACCTAATGCATACAGTAAAGCTGATTACTGGTTCAGAAATTTGAATACTGATTATCTTTTGATCCCATACATCTGGCTATAGATCTTACTTCAGGAAACCAGAAAATCCAAACCCTGAATCAACCACAAAGTTTTTGCCAACACTTACTGAAAGCTTAAAATCCTACAAGTCTGCCAGGAGTACAGAAGCACGTGCTGCCCTCCACCCTGTGCGTATTTGTTGGCACAGATCTGTGATCTGGCACATCTGGGAGCCCCACTGAAGAAGCAGAGGGTATACATCATCATCACCATACTAGGAAAATGAAAGAGCAGCCTAGGCACTGATCTTGGACAAGCCTTTTGGATGCCCGGGAGCTCTGGCTACTCGTATAGCACAGTATATTATACAAATATACTTGCATAGTATCCAGGCTGCTTCTATCAAGTTGTGAAAGCTGTAAAGAACTGAGCAAGTGACGATTTTTTTTGCTCTTCAACTCATCCTTTTCAACACATAGAAGCTGAGTTGAGGTACAGTGTAACACCTACCAGAGGCTGGAATGCTGGGATTTGGGTCCTCCTGACTCTGAATTACCTCCCAGTAGGAACAAAAGTTATCTCACTATGGCCCACACCATTACATCTGAACTGTCATGGTAAAATCTGTATAAACCCCAGATGTTTGCTCAGTCATAAACTGCTTATTAAGACAAAATTTTAGTTGCTGGAAGTGAGCAACTGAATTGCCTAATCTCATCAGATGTGGCAATGATATTGCAATATAATAATAAGACCTGAGACACAAAAATATCTCTTAGGCAGAGAAAGTCTAACTCGATGCAGTGGAAATTTATTCTAACATTAATATGGGGTAGGAAAAAAATCCAGTGTTTGGACACAGCAACTGTAATCTCAGATGTATGCACCAGTCTGACACCAAGCAACAAATAGGAGCACTGCTTACAAAATTGCCTTTGCTGCATTTTTGCTACATAATGAAGCATTTGTACAATAAGTGAAATTTTTCCTACTCTCAGAAAAAGCTTTTTACAGGGCTTGCTTGAATATGCTGAAGCTCTTTTTTTTCCCCCTCTTACTCCTCTGCACCGATTTAAAAGCAGCTCTTGGTAGGGCAGTAGTGGATGTACTGGATGGTCCCTTTTATTACAGTGGTATATCCCAGCTGCCTCTTCCAATAACAACAAAATTCAATTATAAAGATTTCCTCTCTGTTAAATTGCCACCAAAATTCTTGGCATCAGTAAGAGAATTAGCCCCATACAAATGTTTGTATGATTTTTCTGTCAGTCACAAGATGACAAAGGCTATTTCAAATACCCCAGAATCTGGGAATACACTTTGGTTCCCATAGACAGAAGAGACAGAAGGGTACTCACTACAGACTCTGTGGGCCTTACCAATGTCACATTTAACTGTTTTCTTGCTGAAACTTTTACCTTAGGAGCATGATAAAATAGATTTCAAAATTACAGGTGCCAGTCGTATTTTTTCAGATTCAGTTGTGTCTTTTCTCCCCCTCAACTTAGTGAGAAACTAACTTCTAAATGATTTATTTGTAATACCAGCAACTTAATACTTTGCTGTTCTGTGACAGGGGTTTATGATTTGTTACAAAGATAAATAAACTCAATCCAAGGTGCTCCAGTGGCAATAGTGGTCACCCTTCAGTATTTTGCAGGTGGTCAGAAAAACCATATTATTTTGACAGAGAATTTACAGTAATTTTACCAAAAAGCTAAGGAAAATATTAATATTTAATTTGAATCATTCATGCGCTAATATGAAGGGACGTTAAATCTTGCAAAAATACATATATAATAAACAGAAACTCATGACATACAAACCAAGAGTGCAAATAAGGTATTGGTGTCCTTTGGTGGAGTTTCATTGTCACTGGGAAATTCCCATCCTATAGACACACTACACAGTGTAACTAGAACCAGTCACCACTGGGCATAAAATGTAACATCATTCATATTACATGGAACTCCAGAAAAATATGTGTCAAATTTACCAATTTCTCAAACCTTTTTGGGAAAAAGCTAATGCCAGAGAAAAAGAAAAATGGACAGCATGTACACACCCTGTATGTATAGGAATACTGTTATGCATAGATATCCAGAGTAGGTTAAACCTTTTTCTTTCAAACCAGTTATATTGTAATTTAATTACTGCAGCAAGCCGTGGGATACCAGTGCACTGCAAGCATTGTCCAACAAGTAAAGGAAAAGTTACATTTTCGATTTCCAAGAGGAAGGGTGGTGACCTATAAAGTTGTAAAGGAAACCACTCACAGGGTCATTTCAATACCCTTGCTAAAAACAGCCCCCTGGAATTATACATGTCTCTTCCTCATCCTGCTCAGAACAATTGGAAAATTATAGATCATTTAAAATACATTAACTTAATATACCAAAAAACAAAATTAATGGAGACAAAAAGCCCACCAATTTTCACTTGTGGAATTGCACTGCTCATTTCTCAGATTTCTCTGGTAGTGGCATTAAGATTTAGCTAGTGGAAAACTGCCCCAGATTACATAACAGGTATATTTAAAATGTGGTGCAGATCCCGAGTGGTCTTTCTCTCCCAAAGACTCTACTTTTCAGTTTATCCTAAAGTCATCAGGGACAGACTTAACTTAAGCCAAAACAAACACTGATTGCTAGAAGCTTTAGGTGAACAACATCAGACTGGATTTGACATAAACTAGTGATATTTCTTTTTTCCCTACATGATCAGATCAAATCTAAAACAAATGCTACATAAATATTTTAAAAATATAGGACAATGGAAAAATCAGGTTTATGCTGCCTGCTGTGATATCTTCTACAATATATTTATCACAGGGTTTTATGCAATAAATGTAAAACTACATTCCTTCTCAGCCCATGACGCAATTACCTGCACTGAACCCAGCAAGGTAGAGAATATCGTTAGCTGCATTTCAACAGGTGCAGGGGGCATAGAAACAAGGGAGGGGAAAGGTTTTGTAAAAATAAATAAATAAATAAATAGTGTCACACAGCAGAACAGCAGACACTGCACAGACGCTAATATAGCTACTTTCCCCCGCCTTTCATCTCATCTCTAAGTAAACAAACAGCTGTGAACACTTGAAATACAACACAATGGGTGCCTTAACCTATCCATGACAAAGAAGCAGAACTTTTAAAATCTTCCCAATCACTGTCTTCACAATGTCTGGCTTTGTCCACTGTCTTTCAGGACACTGATTTTTCATCAAGGGATTTGTAGTGGCCAGGCAGGTGATGGGGAGCAGTGTACAAGTAACAAGGTCATTGGGTAAAAACCTCTGCAGATACACAGATGCACGAAGGCTCCTTCCAGGTGGGATCAGCACAAATTTGACAAGATGGTATTAACTACAAAATGGCGTACTATTAATCTAGGTGAGAGAGAAGGATTCATTTCAAGCTTCTTCTCCTGATTCTTTCTCTGGCATCTTATTTCTGCTTTGCAAAGGGTCTAGAAATTTAGATAATGAAACTAATTTACTAAGCAACTGGTCATGGATCTCTTTCTTTTATTCCTCACGTTTCTTCTTCTTCTTAACATAGAAAATGAACCCACAAGTCCTAAAGCTCAATGAAAACAGGCCTCATCTTAGTGACAGAAAATACGATTAGTTAAATTGCTTTGGGGGTATTTTAACACTGGAAGTGTGAAAGCTAATGCCTGAAGCAGTCCAAACCTGAGGTAAACATCACATGACTCAAAAAACTCCACTATCTTTTGTCCACAATGAACTAGGGAAGAGGTGACATTGGGAAAAAGGTAAATTTATCCATGGAAATATAAGATTCTGCAAGTAATTTTTAAAAGCATCTATTAAAGATAGAACAGCACAGCTCCAAACCCACATAAAAAAAAGATTCAGTATCTGGCAATCCAAAACATACTGTAAAAAAAAAAAAATACAGCAGAGCTGTATATGCTACCAGATAGAACTTGTAAACTTTCCTACAGGTAAGGGTTAGGGTTACAAGTCTGGGACAAGTCCTTACACTCCCTAATGCCTTCGTCTGAACTCACATACGGTTTGGTCCTGTGCAGTTGCCACAAAAATGCTGTTTACTCCCTGCAGCAGCTACTGAACTTCAGCACTTTTCTCACTGGTTCATAGTCTAAAGGTGGATGTCTCTGACACACCGCTGCCCCGGCCTCGCAGCGTGCACCACACCAGGGCTCCCTGCCGACACAGCGGCTGCTTCTCTCTCTTTGGCAGGTGCTCTTAATCCTGCCACGGTGTTCCACAGGTGATACTGACCTCGCTGATGGGAATGCACAGAGTTAACCAGCACTGCCATTACTTGCAGATTGCCATTTGACATTCAATTTGCGCATTACCTTACCAGAAGTGCGTGCCTTCCTCTGGACTTATGATTTGGTTTTGCAGGAGCCTTCCATCGCTCCCGTCTAGAGCGGGCTCAGTGGCCGGCGGCACCTGGGGCCGGCCGGCACCGCTCGCCCCGCTGGACCAGGGCAGCACAGGCAGGGAAGGGCTGTGCCACCCCGCGGGTCACAGGCAGGGGACACGCGGTTCCGTTTCTGGCACCAGCAGCGGCAAGTTACGTATCTGAGCACACTCTGAGCCGTTCCGGGCCACTCACCGCCCTTGCCTGGGCTCGTTCTCCCCGCTCAGGGCGGCGCGGCGGGGTGTCCCCCCCTCCATACCTTTCTGAGGGCCGCCCGCAGGTCGCGGTGCTGCGGGATGTCACCGCCGTCCCTCGGCCCCGAGCAGCGACCCCGCAGGGCCGAGCCCAAGCGCGCCCAGCGCCCGCCGCCCCGCAGCGCCATGGCCGCCACGTCCGGTCCCGCTCCAAAGGCAAGGCCGAGGGCTGCCAAAGCCTGCCCCGCTCCAAAAGCCGAGGGCAAAGGCAGCCGCCGTGCCCGAGCAGCTGGCCCGGGTCACCCTGGCAGCCCCCGCCCCGCCCCGTCGCGTCCCCTCCCTCCACCCGCTCCTCTCTTCCCCCGCAGCAAGCCACGGTAGCTCTCGGGTTACGGACAGGTTTTCTTTAATGCCAACGAATAGCCATGAAGCGACCGACAAGCGGGTGGCGAAAGGGCCCCGCGCAGCGACAGGAGCCGGCCCCGCCGGGGAGCGGGGCACAGCCAGCCCTGCCGAGCGGCCCGCGCGGGTCTCGGCAGCTTTCGGGTGGGTTTCTGTATTTTTGTAAGGAGAAATAGAAAATAACAAGAAATCCGCTCCTGCGCTCGTTCAACACGGACCGGTGGCGGTAGGGACACGCTAGTGAATCCGTAGGGGTATAGGAGCAGTGTCTGCTCCGGGGGCAGGCGCGGGGGCCGTTCTTCTACGCGATGACACAGCCTCCCTTCTCCTTGAAGGGATTCTTGTCCTCGGGAACCCCCTTCACCAGCGGGTCCTCGCCAGACCGCTCCTCGATGTAGTTCTTGATCTCTTCGGAGCACTTGGACACCTCGAGGGAAAGGACAGAGAGGAAGCAGCGTTATGATCGAAGCTAATGAACATCAGAGGAGGAAACCCGTGAATTCACTTCCTTCTTTCTCATTTGCCTTCCCGCCAAGCGTAAAATATCTGACCACAGAGCAAGCACAGCACGTGCAGACTCAGCTTCCTTCCTCTTTTTTCTAGCCTGATATTCACAGAACATGTGAGTATCTCTGGGAATGTATATGCCACTTGTAACAGCAGCTGCTGCATAGTTAAACTTGCATTCTTCTTAGACAACGTAGTTTTATTAAGCTGCAGATCACAGTCTCCCTCAGCAGCGGCATGACTTACGGTCAATGGTTTCAGGGTCAGTAACTTTCAACTCAGCTTTAAAGCGTTTATGGCTTTACATGTTTTTCCCAGACAAAACATTCAGCAGTGCTTTTTCAATGGTAATAGAAATCCTTACTTTATGGTTCTACTATTGCAGTGATGCATCTTGAATGAGAGTAACGACCTGACTGGGAAAGACAATATACTTACAGGTTACCCGGGGTTATTTTGAGCAACAGTTAATGGAACAGCCTATTGTGTTATAAGAGAACACAATACACATAACATTGCATGGGATTCATAGCAAACTAGCACTGATGTAGGTAAGCCTGCACAGAACCTGTCCATAGAGAAGAAATGTGTTTAGTTTTTGTTCACTGAGACAAGAGAACATGCAGTGAAAGTATCTGGGGAGTCTGAGAGTGCACAAGTGAACCTCAGGAGCTTCAGAGGCTCCTTATCCACACACCCCTCTTGCTTCCTTTCCCTGTGTCAGCAGAAACTCTCCTTAGATGCTCGAATACCTGACATGCCTGAGGATGCACTCTTGCTCCGTCCCCATCTCCTCCCTTTCTACCCACAGTCCCTGCAGCGGCACAGCTGTGCATCGTCAGCAGCAGAAAACAGCTGTTGGCCAGGCCACTAGATGATTAATATTTCTAATTTAAGGCCCCTTGCCATCTTTGTTAATTACATTTTACTTCATAGGTAGAAGTACAACAAGACAACCGATGAATTTAACTGCTGTATTACAGACAATAGAGAATGCATGACCTGTGCAGAATTAAGCTTTAAGCCATCAGAAAGAATAGACTTAATTGCCAGTTAAACAACGCATAAAATAAAATTTAGCTACCTTTTGATCTACAAATGCCATTGCATGTCTTACTCTTCTGTGCCTTGCAAACGCTGTTCATTCAAATTGGGGCACCTTATACCATAGTAAAGTTGTGCTCCAAAGTCTATGCAGGACCAGGATTTGTTTTACTTCAGTCAGTATTACCAGGATCATTATCACTTATAAGAAAAAAAAAAAAAAAAGCCTGCTTAAAGACACGCTCGAACATTTTTATTCATTCAAAAAATTATTCAAAAGGGCACTTCGTTTTTGTTAAGGTATAGGAAGGGGTCAAGAAAACTTTGGCTAAAGTTTATACTTTTGGTAACAAGAAGTATGCAGAAGTGTGGCTTCTGCATTTCCCTGTCCCTGTAACATCCATACACGTACCAGGGGACTGTGATGACTACAACACAGGTTTCATTCTCACAGTGAAACTTCTGTTACAATGCACTGGTAAAATTGAGCATGCTGTCTGTGCTTTACTACAGGTGAATTGAAAATATCTGTTTCCCTAAAGTGATCAGGCTTTTGGTTTATTTCGAAAATGTAGACTATTATTATTATTGTTATTATTGTTGTTATTATTATTATTATTATTAAACCTTGAGCTCCTGCAGAGTATATTTCAGTTGCTTGGGAACTCTCTGAGGGATGATACTGCTATCTATAGTAGTTCACTGTCAAGCCCTCAATATTGCTGAAGCTTTAGACTATACCGTAACACCCACAATCACTAATACCTAACTCACAGCTAAAATGTAACTCTGGCGTTCTTATTTTCTGGGCTAAACACCTAGACCTGCAATGTAATTAGTGTGACTAATGCCACTGATTACCACATATAAATGTATTTTTAGTCCTAACTAGAAGTGTTTATTTAAGTGTAGTTTGCTTCTGCTGGCGTGTAGAATAAGAAAAAAAAATATATATGTTTCAGAGCAAGACCACTTCTGCACGTTTTTCATTTATAGAAAATGTAGAAAACCACAAACATTTAACTGGAAAGTACTTCACCTTTGGAAAGAAGCAATCAGTGTAAATGTCTAAAAGTTCAGCTTTTCTACGGGACAAGGCTTGGTGGGTCACGGCTCCGCACCAGCAGCCCTTTGGCTCCTGCCCTCCGCCCGGGAACTGCACAGCACAGGAAGAGGGAAGCGGGGAGCGGGCCGGGGCAGGGAGCGGTGCCGCGGCAGGGCTTCCCGCCGCACAGCACCCATCTCCTGGCACCGACAGGTCCCAGCGCATTCTGTCTACAGAGGAGAGGAACACAAGGCGACGTGCTCCTCCCTCGCCTGGCAAGGCTGCCTTGTGCTGGCCTTGAGCTCCAGGGACTCGCGGGGAGGAGGAAGCCAAGGGGTGCCAAACGCACGGGGAAGAGCCGAGGCCGGCGCGCCCACGCCAGCCTCTCCCGGCGCCTTCTCTCGCGGTCACCCCCGGGAAGGACCGACGTGGTATTAGCGGTGCTATGTCGACAGAGCTGTCCCCGGCCCCTGATCCAAAGCGGGTGGCTGGAGCCGTCGGTGCAAACCGCGGCCGTCCCGAAACAGTCACGGCTGTCCAGAGGAGCGGCTCCCACAGCCTCGCCTTCCCCGGCCCCGCCGCCCGCCCGACGTGCCCCCGGCCGCCACATGAGCCCCTGCACCTCCGTCCGGGGACGAACGGACTGCTCCCCGCCTCAGCCCCAGCCCCAGCCCCGGCGGCCAGGCATCTTGGGAGTCCTTTCTCTGCGCCCGCTCACCGGCTGCCTCTCCAGCTTCACTTCTTTCCGGAGCTGCTCCACTTCCATTTTCAGTTTGTCCTTCTCGCTCAGGTCCTCGATGTTGATGGCTGGCATCGTCTACACTGTCAAAGAGCGCAGAGAGGGAGGGACGACAAAAGGTTACGTCTGGGCAGCAAGGGCGCCGGGGCCGGAGCCCCCGGGCGGTGGCGGAGCGGTGGGGCGGTGGGACGGCCGCCCCCGGCCCGCCCCCGGGTTCACTAACACTGCCGGCCGAGTTGCCCCGCTGATCGGCGGCGACCGCTTCCTCTCCGGCGCGCCCGCACCCGTTTTCCGCGCCGCTCCGGCCTTTAAACCTCCATGCTAATCCCCCCTAACCGGATTAGAGCCCGCCGTCCGGTCCGGCCCCGCTGCCGGGGCGCCGGGGCGTTGACACGGGCCCTGCCTGCATAGGGAGGTCCGGCCGTCCCGGAGCGGCCCCAGACCAATGCGTTCGGTCTCGCCGCCGCACTGGCTGCAGGAGCTGGAGGACCCTGCTGTGCTGACCTCTCCGGCCTCTCCCTCTTCACCACTGCTACGGGGCAAACGCAGCGAGGTCGATGGGATTTTGGCCCAGCTGTGAAATTTTTCTCCCCAACACCTCCTTCTCCTCTTCCACCTCACGACCATTGCAATGCTTCATGCTTCTCCGTGCCACCAGCATCCTTTGGTTTTGTGTTCCTCTGCCCAGCAGCTAAGGTAGAAGCAGGTGGTTTGCATGGGCACATTCCTCGATACTTGTACATTACTACCACGAAGAGACTGGACTGAAATGGTAAAGAGGGAACAGAGTCACTCTCATATTAAATGCCCCAACAGGCAGCCAGCCCATCAATGCCAGACACAACAACTTTTGTTGATAAGTGTGTCTACAAAGCAGAATTATAGCTCTGCATGAGTTCCTGTGCCTGGCTTGCACCAAGGGGCTCTGGAATCATGCAGTTATGAGAGGTGTCAAGGGTGGAGTGCTCCACATAAGAGAAGTGATGGTTTCAGAGGACACAAAAAGGAGCTAGGAAACTCTTCACCTGTGGTTGCATACAGCTTTGAGGTCTAGATACCAAATAGAGCACTATGCTCTGTAGAACAGGGTGATCCCTCCCTGCCAATTTGTACAGCCCCTAGCATCTCTCATCCTAGCAGCTGCTTTTCTACAATACCACTGGATACAGAATTCAGGACCTTTCAGACAGAACATAGCTGCAGGCCATTAAAATGGGCTTGTAGGCCCTCTGTTATCTAGCAATTCAAAGGTCCATATAGGCAATCACCCTTCCCTCTTTCCACCTCTTTTTTCCTATTAAATATACTCATTTCTCCTCCTCTCCCCACTCACCAGATGTAAGCAGCTGTCAGCAGTATGTAAGATTTACATCTTTCTTCTCCAGTGCTCCTCCTGTAGTGCTCTTGGGGTCTATATTCCTTTTATTTCAGCCAGTTCACTAAAATCAGTTTTTCTCCTTCTGACTATTATCTCCCTGTTCCCAGCTGTTGATACGCAATTTTTACACTCCCATAATCTACACTGACAGCTGCATCTCCAGACTCTACCAGCTGCTGGTCCTGGGCCAGTCAAAACAGGAGGAAGGAGCTGGCCAGCCAGAGTCTTAGAGGGGCCAGGGCTGTTGCAGGAGCAGAAGCATTGCAGTGCGGAGAGGCAGAGAGCATGTGCTGTGGTGGGCAAAGGTGTGGAAGTGAGGTGAGGGTGGGTTCTGGCACACCATGAACACAGTTAGGGTGGGAAGAACTTGGTATCCACAGCTCTGTAATGGAAAGCCTCCAGAGAGTTGTTTGCTGACTTGACTAGCTCTGTTGATGGCAGTCAGTAATGGACTTTCTATCACTTGCTGTGTTAGCTTTTACTGTATTTCATGTATTTTTACAGGTTTTTACCTAATCTGAGTTATAGCAAAGGAGAAGCTGAAAAGCAGCACTGATGGATAGGTGGCTTTAGCTCACACTTTGATTGGTATGTGTGTGTGCACAGAGGAAATGGAAAATATGGTAAATGGTATTTGAATATAGTACTTACTTTGCTGCTATTGTTTAAAACGGTATTTCAATTACTTCGTTTGCAATTGAAAAAATTATGATGAAAACCAAAGCACATCAGTCTAGGACATCATATTAAAGAACATCATATTAGAATCACTCGAGAGTTTCCAGTATTAGAAAGATGACTTTTTGCTTTCTTCTGGGAATAAAAAGTGTACGTTGTTTTTTTATTTGTTTGTTCTTTCTTATCAAAGGGACATAAACTTTAATATAATTGCTCTGCCTAATAAGCTGAACAAAATCCCTAAAAATGATGACACCTGTTAGTAACAGTTGTAGCTATAAAATTCTAAAGCATGGCAGATGTGTCCCATGGTGATGACTCAAACTGTACAAGGGTTTATTTTGTTGTCACTAAAGCACCCACTTATCCTTTGGCAACTACAGATCCTAAAAGAAAGGAGTAGTTCTGTAAAAGAAGAGGAAGAGGTGCCATTCATATCCTTTCAGAAGACATGTAGGTGGGGTAGGAATTAAATTTGCTTCTTTCTTGCCTTTAAGAAAAATAAAATTATATCAGAAAACTAGGTTGTAATCCTCCATGGTATAAGAAAAGCAGAGAAGTCATGGAGAGAAAGTCAGCTCCTGAAATAATCACGGTGCTATGAAGTTCCCCCTTCTTACAGCCCCTACTGACTCTGCTTCTTTCCTGCAGGCCACAGATTTCCAGGGCTCTGTATCTCAACCCCATCGACGGCAGCACCGGCCTGCAGGGCTGGGGCCAACGCCGTTGCTGTAAAGGGAGCAGAGAAGAACAATAGGAGATCAGATTATTTCGTTGTTATCTATGGAAAGCACGCCTAATTTGCAGCCACTCTTATCTCTCTTACTGGATTCTATCTGGAGTAAACACTAATTAATGTAATGTCTCTAACAGATTAGAGACGGAAAAGTATGCTGTTCGCTGCTCATCCCTTTCTTCCCCTGATCACACCCCATTGCCTGATGGGGTTAAAATCTGCAGAATAAGCCAAGTCATGATATTTCCTGAAATCCATCTCTTTGCACTGGCCAGAGGTGTCATCCATTCATCCCCGTGGGTTTTTCCAGAGTCCAAGCCCTTTTGACGATGCCTCGGTTTTCTCAAATTCATCAGCGTTTTACACAACGGTATTAAACTAATTACGCGCGTTTGCTTCAGTGGCACTCGCTAGGCAGCCTGTACTTGATCCGGCTGTATCAGGACGTGCAGCAGGCTCAGCGTTTGATTTTCGGCGTCCCACCGCCCTCTACCTGGAGCCTCCGAATCGAGAGCGGCCTCAGGGGGGCGACGGCGACTGGGCGGGTAGAGAGAGAAGGTTTTGGTTAATTGACCCGTCACGGATTTCGCCGTGATTAACAGGAAATGCTCTTTGAGCATCATCCCGTAATGTGATGGGGGCGGGGGACGTGGACGGGACCGCCGGGGACTCCAGCCAGCTCCCCGCAGCGGGAGCCCCTCCACCATGGGCGGTGCAGCCCGACGTGCAGCCAGCCCCGGCAACGCCCCCCGCCTGATCCCGCCGCTCCCCCCGACGGCGGCGGGGCAGGGGGGCTGCCCGCGCCCCCCGGGCACACGCAGGCGCGGAGCTGCCGCGCCCAGGTGGCGGCCGGGTCAGCGGGGACCTCCTGCCCCGCTGAATCAGCCCTTCCCCTCCCACCACACGCGCAAGGAGGGAGGCGGCTCGGGGAAGTCGCCTGGGTGCATATAAAGCGCTGCCGTCGGGCCGTCCAGCGCTGCTCGCTGCCGGGATCTCGCTGCCGCCCGCCCGCCCGCCGCGCCATGGACACGGGCCGCCGCCTGCCGCTGCCCGCGCTGCTGCTGCCGCTGGCCTGCGCCGCCCTGGCACAGCGCTCACTCACAGGTAGGAGCGGGCGCTCGGCGGGACCCCGCGGGGGCTTCGTGGGGGGGGCTGGGGCCGCCTGTGCCGGCAGTGGCCTGAGCCCGTCGCTGGTGTCTCCCGCAGAGAAGGAGCGCGCCTGCCTCCTGCCCCCCGACGACGGCCCCTGCCGCGCCCTGGTGCCCCGCTGGTACTACGATAGGCACACGCAGAGCTGCCAGGAGTTCACCTACGGGGGCTGCTACGGCAACGCCAACAACTTCCTCACCTTCGATGACTGCGAGAAAAACTGCTGGACCATCAAGAGTGAGTCCAGGGACCGGCAGTGCCCCAGAGCGCCCCAGGGTGGCAGGGGGCTAGAGGGGACCTGCAGGGGCACCGGGGAGGCTGCACAGCTTGCGGGATGCTTTGAGCCCACCTGGCGTATCAGAGTCGTAGAATTGTTAATGTTAGAAAAGACCTTTAAGATCATGGAGTTCAAGTGCTGTCCCTCCTGCTTGTTGCTGCTTCTTGCTGATATCAATTTTAGGCAGGGAAACCAGAATGAGTTGTCTCAGAGATGACATGTGGAATTTACCTATTAATGTAATTTAATATTGTGCCCACTGGCTAATCAATGCATCAGATTCCTCCTGTAAACCTTACCCCACTGCAGGTGGAACAAGCCGGGACTTGCTTGTAACTGGAGTAACAATATTTTGCCTACACTGCCATGTTGTTCTGTCTGTGAAGAATGAAGAGTTGTTTTTACAGATGATGAAATTATTTCTATTGCAGAAGTGCCCAAATTATGCCGGCTGGAGGCTGATGGAGGACCTTGCAGGAGTCATCTAAGAAGATACGCCTTTAACTTGAGCTCAATGAGGTGTGAGGAATTCATCTACGGTGGCTGTTATGGAAATGGCAATAACTTCAGAGATTTGCAGTCTTGTGTGGACCACTGTCTGCCAGAAAGAAGTAATGGTTGTTCCAAATTTTTAATAAAATAGATGGTTTAAAAGTGATATGAAGGTGATACTTTATTTGATATTTTCCTCTGGATACCCATACAGTGGTATTTTTGAAGACTTCTGTGAAGTAGTTGTTTATATTGCCCACATTAATTTTAATGTGTTACTTGTCTCAGCTGTTACTGAAAGAGCAAAAACGCTGTGGCCTAAATACTGCCATGGCTAAATGCAACCAATTTCTTGACTTTTAGAGTCAAGGTACAGCGCTAGCTGAGGGGAAATAACAGGGTCGGAGATCTGTGTTGAGGCAGATGTGTCAGACGTTGTGGCAGTCATGTTCAGGGCAGTGATACTGTAATATAAAGCAGAAATACCTTTCTAAAAGTCAGGCCTGAGATGGTGTTAGGAGAGATGGTGTTGGCACTCAACAGCTCAGATTCTGATAGAAGTTTTGCCTGATGTGATTCTTCACTGTCTCTCCACATGAGCTTTAAATAAGAAAGGTCATAACTATGAGTGGGTCACTGTAGCTAAGCATTGC